GGTTGGGTGGGGGGAGTGGGGGAGAGGGTGCGGACAAAAGAAAAAAGAAAAATCTAACAACTCATCATAAATAATTGACACGCTAATCCCAAACCTTTTGACTCTGCCACAGGTTACCAGGTCCTTCTCTAGCTATATACTCCCCTCATTCCAATTTATGTCAAGGTGTTCAGATTTCGAGAATTATTGTTTGACCGTAATTTTTTCACATGCCTTTTAAATATTTTGAACTATTAATTGTAGTATAATACTTTTTACGTAATCTTCAAATATGTGAATTTATTTTGAAAAATTCTATGTCCAAATGCATGGTCAAAATTAAGAAGTTTGAATCTCGAAAAGCAAAAAGTGTCACATAAATTGGGACAGAGGGAGTATGTTATATACCAGTTAAAGTCTCATGTATGTTCCAAATGCAAGTAAGCAGTCAATCACTTCATATTCACCAACGTATATCAACACTGATCTTTGTAACATTTTGGTGCATGTTAATTATGATCTTTCTTCAAAGGGGAAAAAATGCTAGAAACTTAATTCAAAAAACAAGCTTCATACTAGCATATCAGATTAACATTTAATGCATACGTCGTTTTACATTCCCCAAAAAATAGACTTGGGGAGATTGGAAATTGTACTAGTCCAAGAGCAGAGAAGGAAACAAGAACTGGAATAATGCTTCGACGTCTCTCTAGCAAACATCTAACTGCACCTTATCACCCAAAAAAGTAATCTAATAGCAATACTCACCCATGATCAACATATTATGCCGAAAACTGTTAGTGAGAAATCATCACCTCATGGTGCTTTATGTCTTTTACTCCAAAATGCTAATCCTTTTGGAAGTTATCTTCTTTAGAACCTTTGAGGGGGGTCATGATACATAGAGTTTCTACCAGTATAATTTTCAGAAGTGACAAACCCACCAAATAGGGAAACCTAATATCAAAATAAGTTCAAACAAAACGGAAAGTTGTACTTACATTGGCGAGCAAGGAGAGCGACCGCCATTCATGTAGTAGATAAACAAGTACGCATCATAGTGCTGGCTGTTAATAAAATAAAAGCCAGGCAACCTCCTTATACACTGAAAGGACATCTTCTTATATAAATATATGGCTGGGTTGTTGTACGAGATCACGTGTAGGTAAACTGCTCGACAAGTTGGGATTGTTGAGGAATATTTTATTACCTCATGAATTAGAGAGCTGGCTGAAAACCAAAAACCATAGCAATACTTGGTAAATCCTGATTGAAGGATAGAATTACAAAATAGAGTACATACACAAGAACCAAGTGCACAGCGCACCTATTCCAAGATTTCTATAACCTTCTGCAACTCCCAGTGTTAGGATGTAAACCAGTGTGTGGTTCAACCTAGCAGATTCATATCTGACAAAATCTTCTATCTATAGATAAGGGTGATTCAAAATTAACAACAGTCCATAAGAAAGAATTACTTGTAAAAGAGCAAAAGACGTACCTCACTGTCTTTTGCTAGAACGATCCGGGCAGTCACAAATCCAATAAGTTCGTCATCTTGACCATTGGGCTGATTGCAATCGACAGCTCCCCAGGAAACAATATCCCGGCCATTAACGACATTTTGGAAGAACTCAGATTCATATCTAAATACCAAAAGAGGGGCTAACAATAAATACAGATCTAACTAATAGACCAACTTCACTTTGGTAAACGAATAAAGAATTTTTTTAGGGACTTCACATGTCATTTATCTAACATCAAATAGTGAAAGTGACGAAAAAATAGAAGGGATCATCTGACCTGATGGGGAACATATCCCCATGGAGTTTCTCCAGTACTTCCAGATCAGAAGGTCGTATAGGCCTAAATTGTATGTGCGCATTGTGGGAGAATTTGAGGTTCAGCATTGAAAGAAATGGCATCAATCCCCGGGCAAAGACTTGGTGTATTTGAGAATTCGTATGAGGAGTGCTATCTCCATGTATGCAATATCAAATGCAATGACCATGCAGTCTCGGCAAGGCCGGAGTTCATTTCTTGCTCTTCATCAATTCTTTCTTACATCACGGGGATGTCATCTTAAAGAGTGCGCTTGCAGCTTTCGTTTGAGCTCCAGCAACTTTCAGCAATGCAAAGATATCTACTGCTGATTAGAAAGAGGAAGCCAATATGAATAAGTTCCCAAAGAAGCACACTGGCGTCATCTATGAGCAGAAGAGCTTTTATCCAGATTTCTAATATGAAAAGTGGATTCATGATAATAAAAAAAAAGAACACTTGTACACTAGGATACAAGTTGTCAAAATTACAAGTGAAAATCAACATCGCCTACTCTTATTTCTCAAAGCATAAGAACATGATCTACAACTTGTGCAAAATCCAAAAATATTCGAATTTAAATGGTGCAAGCGTACGTCTATATTAAATGCTGAAGCAAACAGGTGGGGATCAACATATTTACGAGTTGGGAGTCCGTCGAAATGATTGATGACAAACTTAAGACTATTTGAACTTCTGACCTTCATACTAGACTGTAAAGACAGGAGTCAGCACGAAGCTCTAAGTATCTACATACCTTGCAAATTTGGGTGCTCGGTTCATAATTCAAAAAAAAAAGTTCATTCAGAATCTAATCTTCTTGCAATTATCCGGATATTAGTTTTAAGCAATAAACAAATAGCACGAAATAAGAGTTCCATCTTTGCTATTTGGCAGAAGCAGAGGCTAATTAAAGATTTAATTCTGATGGGTTCAAATGTTTATGTTCTCACCACTAAATCTATAGAAAATTTGCAATTATGGGTTCAAAAGTAATTTCTCGGTTTGTGTGCAATTGAACCCGTTTGAATTACACCCAGAAGGGCCTTTAACTTGTGGACTCCCAAATCTTCAATTTATGCAAATGACAATGAGTCATATACCAAACTTTAGCTAATTTTGCAAACGAAACGAATACAACCAATTGAGCTGGAGAAAAAGGGCGGGCACTAGAAATAACAGAAACTAACATAACGGATATGAAAAAAAGAAGCGAGCTTTATGATCATTCTAAGCAAGAGAAGAGAAACTGACCCAGATAGGAGATATTAATAGTACCAAGTAATATAGTGTTAGATGAGCAACAATTACCTCCGAAATTGTGTGATCAAAGCGATGAGGGGTCAATTGCAGGTACCTAATTTATAGTAGTAAATATTATTATAGGAAACGGAAATCAAAGAGAAAACAAGTACGGATTCTTTTCTTTTTCATGGCGAGGAAATACGCATATCCATAAAATTGGAATCCAATTCTTTGTCATTTCGTCACACTTCCTTCTACTTTCTTGGAAAAATGTGTTAAAAAAAAAGTTCATTAATTAAGAAGGATTAGGAATGGTCCGGGTCAAATTAGAAATAAAAACAATTTGGAGTAAAATTTAAAATATTAAAAAATAAAAATAAAAACCTTCTAATCACACACGATTTTCCTCCCAAACTTTTCTAACTTTTCTCTCAAATTCAATCTCCAAACTCAAGAGTATTATAGGGCTTCAAAAATCAGCTCCATTCCATTTAAATTTGCTTTAAAGTCGAGATTCCTAAACTTGTTATTTCAACCCTAAATTGATTTTTTTGGAATGTTTTTGTACCTTCTTGTTGTTGTGTAGTTTTTGTGCCTAAATTCTAGAGTTGTTGTGTAGTTAATATTTTTGACCGAAAATTTGATATTTTTATGTTGTTTAATTGTAGTCGTTGATGTGGTTGTTCCACATGCCCATAAAATTAGTTGTTGTGATATTGAAATAGCTATATTGCTCTATTTTGGGTTTGTGGGATACTTTTTTGCCCAGATGTTTCAAACATGTCAGTTGAGTGTTTGAAACATCTTAAGATATTGTTAAATATTCGTATTGTTATTGTTGTTGTTGTATGTTGTGAAGTTATTGCAATGTTTATCCGGGTTTGGTTAATGATATTTTGAGCTGAGTGTTTGAAACATCTTAAGATATTGTTAAATATTCGTATTGTTATTGTTGTTGTTGTATGTTGTGAAGTTATTGCAATGTTTATCCGGGTTTGGTTAATGATATTTTGAGCTGAGTGTTTGAAACATCTCACTAAGATGTTTGAAGCTTCATATAAGATGTTTGAAACATCTGTAAGGATGTTTAACAATCCATGAGATGTTTCACCAAAAGATACCTGATTATCACAATGTGATAGTTGATTATTTTAGCGATTAATAAAATCATTGATAGAGACGTATAGATAAAGAAGTTTGGAGAATTATAATATGAACATTGCTAGCTTGCTTTCAAACTCCATCTAACTAGCTAGAAACTTAAATTACTATATCTTGCTTAGCATTTGTAGATGGCAAAAAATTGATTTGACCTCTTAAGCTCAATCTTGTATGATCATTTAATGCAGCACCTTTAGAGATGTTTCAAATATCTCATTAAGATGTTTCAAACATCTTAAGATGTTTCAAACATCTCATTAAGATGTTTCAAACATCTTAATGAGATGTTTGAAACATCTTGTTGAGATGTTTGAAACATCTTATATGAGGCTTCAAACATCTCACTGAGATGTTTTACCAAAAAATATTTAAATATTTATAGTTTTATTTTTTTTATTTGTTAGGAATAAATTATTTATTTATTTTGTTGATGATCGTTACTTGTTTGTGTGTGCAAATAAAATGGCAAAGGCACATGTGTCAAAGACATGTGGAAGAGGAAGAGATAAATCTCCTTCCAAAAGATCTAGCAAAATAATTAAGAAATCTCAGGAGGATGAGCTACAAAAATCAATTATAGCTGAAGTGGAAGCCAAACCTCTTCAAGTAGTAGAAGGAGGGAATGCTAGAGAAGAAGAAAAATAGAACGAAAGTGAAGAGGAAATTGAGAAAGAAAATAAAGAGGAAACAAAGAATGTACTAGGAGGGAATGCTAGAGAAGCGAAAACAGAGAAAGAAAAAGAAGAGGAAACAGAAAAGGAAGAAGAAGAGGAAACAAGGAAAGTAAGAGAAGAAGAGACAAATGTTGATGAAGAAGAATCAAAAGAGGAGACAATAGTTGATGAAAGAGAAGAGGAGACAAATATTGATGATGAAGCATCAGTAGCAAATACTGAAGAAGAAGCTTCAAGAGAAGAAGAAGAAGCTTCAAAAGAAGAAGAAGAAGAAGAAGAAGAAGAAGAAGAAGAAGAAGAAGAAGAGGCATCGACAGAAAGTAGAAAAAAGAGAAAGAATGATAATACACCTTCTCAATCTGTTGAGGTAAGGTTAATATGTTTCAAATATCTCTCTGGATATTTGAAACATATCTCTAGATGTTTAAAGTTTCTGTCTGGTGTTTACCCGTAAAATGATACAGTTAAATTTGTTCATAGTTTCTAGACAAGTGAGTTAATTTGATCCAAAAGATAATGAAATAACTGATGAAATATAAAATACTTAGCCTTAGAATGTAGATGGAATGACAAAGTTGATGAGTCCGGGAACAGGATTTCTGGGAACGAAAATGATGAGATCAAAAGTGAGAGAATAAGATTATATTTAAAATACTATATAGAATGTAGTGTAAGTTAGCCAGAAAATTCTTCCCCTTACAATGATAACATAGCTCTCTATTTATAGTTATGTCTAGGATCATGCCCTTCTTTAATGTCAATTATGAGGGCCATTGATGAAGATGTAACATTAGACATAAATGTCAAATTCCTTGTAACGGGCCATCATCCTTAATGCTGTAAAATATTCTGTATTAAATATTACCGTGCACAAAGTATTTAAAACTTCTTTTATGATCGTTATTCCTTCCGCTGACAAGCGAAATAGCTATGTTCGGTGGCCATCTCCATCTTGTGTTCCACGTGTCCTTCCTTTAAGCGGCCGCGTGTCATGTCGTATTTTTCTCTATACAGATAGTCCCCCTGCTTTCCGGTGACATAACTTTGTGTTACCGGGAAGTTGGTAGAAATACCCTTTTGGCGGAAATTACTATAATTCCTTTTGAAAGCCACTGACGGTTGATTAGATGCCTCTCTCTCCGTATTTAATGCCCCGAACAAGCATCATCCCACGATTCAGCACAGCTTTTTTCCGATTATCGAGGTAATCATGGCTATGAATTTAGCCGCCAAAATTTTAGTTATATGCATCATCCTCCTCTTATGTACTTCATAATTCTCAAACTTCTAACTTGCATCTTTATTTCCCAACTTTTCTCTGATCTTCTTCGAACCAGTAATTTTCCTTCTATTCCAATGGCTTCCTCTTCAAAACGTGCTAGTTCTTCAAAGGGCAAGAACAAAATCGAGGATTCCGTTCCTCCAACAGTGGGTTTCATCATCCCAAGAAGGCTTAGTACTTCGAAAGATTTTGAAGAGAAATTTCCTATTGCTAACCCTCGTACATGGGCTGTTAGTAGATACTCTTTTTCCATTGGCCCTTCCAGTATTCCTGCTGTGAAGGAGGACTGTCGCTGCACTGAGTTAGATATTATTGCTCCTGATTTATCGGAGAGAGTGGCCCTTCCCAAGGAAGGTTTTACATATTTCTTTACGTATCCCTTTACTTTGGGTGCGTTTTCTTTGAGCGGAGAGCTTGATTCCATAATTGCGGAGTTTTGTCTTCGCTACTAGGTGTGCTTGGCATAGGTAAGTCCTTCAGTGTGGAGGACGATCGCCTGCCTTCGGCGTTTGTGCCAGGAAACTGGAGAGGAGCTAACCCTAGCTCATATGATGAATCTCTATTCCCCCAAAATCTTCTGCGGGGGAATGATAAACCTTTGTAAGCGTGGCCACCATGCTTTACTGTCTAGCATGGATGACGACAACAACCGTGGGTGGATGGAATGGTTCGTTACAGTTGCCACCAATGACATTCTTTCAACAATGGCTTCATCCTTTCCGGTTGCTTGGAACCGCTCTCG